TTGACACAACGTTGCATTTGAATACTCAAATGTTGTTATATACATATATTATATAGATGTCACACCTGTGACAGGTAAAAACATGATTTTTGTAAAAACATGCTTTTTTGAAAACCAACGCCATCTAGTGAACGTAAAAGCATCACACGCTATACTAAATATTTCATGATTCCATTTCAATGTTTCCAGTGCCATCTGGTGGATATAAAAGCAACACACGCTATACTAAATATTTCATGATTCCATTTCAATGTTTCCAGTGCCATCTGGTGGATATAAAAGCAACACACGCTATACTAAATATTTCATGATTCCATTTCAATGTTTCCAGTGCCATCTGGTGGATATAAAAGCAACACACGCTATACTAAATATTTCATGATTCCATTTCAATGTTTCCAGCGCCATCTGGTGGACATAAAAACAACACACGGTATACTAAATATTTCATGATTCCATTTCAATGTTTCCGATTGCATTGTTATATTGAATTGTCATAGATTTCAATTTATTTTCATTTCGATTTAATTATTTTGTGTGACATTGCATTGGAATAGAGCTGTGTCATTTACCATAGCGTTCATTTAGTGAGTATAGTATATTCAGAACAGTTCGGCCTCTCTCCAGCTTCGTCCCGATGGTCCCTTTATATGTGTGGCTGGGCTGCAACCACACCCTTTCCCCTTTCCACCCCTCCTCTGACGAGCTTCGGCCATTTCTGCCAAGGGGAGCTGAAGTCCTTAGGCTTCCCACTCCCCTCTCTCTCCTCCCCTCCCGCCAGGCCTTTGCTGTCTGTGGCGGGGCGGCACCTGCGCCATCCCTTGGCCACCTCCCCCCGCCCTTAAGCCGGCCTATCCCCGGCTAGCCCAGTGGAGCTCCAGAGGAGCCTTTCCTCAGCCCGGCCGGCCGTGCACGCTCTCCAAGTCATTTGGTGGAATGTTAAAGGATGGAATATTAAAGAAATATTGCTTTTTGGTTTATTCAGATACAGAAAAATGCACCAACTGTCCAGATGATCAATACCCAAATGAAAACCGAGTCCAATGTGTTCCCAAAAGCACAACCTTCCTTTCTTATGAAGAACATCTGGGAATCACCCTGGTCTCTTTTGCCATATTCTTGTTTCTAGCCACAGGTCTTATTTTAATCATATTCATTATATACAGAGAAACACCCATTGTCAAAGCCAACAACCACGACCTCTCCTACATCCTCCTGGTCTCCCTCCTACTTTGCTTCTTGTCTCCTTTTCTTTTTATTGGTCAACCAAGGAAAACCACCTGCCTTCTCCGACAAACAGTTTTCAGCATCATCTTTTCAGTTGCCATTTCTTCTCTCTTGGCCAAAACCATCACAGTTGTTCTGGCTTTCCTGGCCACAAAACCAGGAAATCAAGTGAAGAAATGGCTGGGTAAGAGCTTGACCAACTCCATCATCCTTTCTTGTTCTTCTGTCCAAATTGTCATCTGCTCCATTTGGCTGGGAGTTTCTCCTCCATTCCCTGACTCTGACTTCCACTCTCAACCTGGAGAGATCATCCTGCAATGCAATGAAGGATCTGTTGTCATGTTCTACATCACCCTCAGCTACATGGGCTTCCTGGCTGCCATCTGCTTCACAGTGGCTTTCCTGGCCAGGAATCTGCCTGGGGCCTTTAATGAAGCCAAGCTGATCACCTTCAGCATGCTGGTCTTCTGCAGTGTCTGGATGACTTTTGTGCCCAGCTACCTTAGCACCAAAGGGAAATACATGGTGGCTGTTCAGGTCTTCTCCATATTGTCCTCTAGTGCTGCTCTGCTGGGCTGCATCTTCATCCCCAAGTGCTACATTATCATTCTGAGGCCAGATCTTAACACAAAGGAGCAGCTTATAACCAAGAGAAATG